TACTCTAATTAAACCAAGTGACTAACATTTACTTATGATACAATATATAACAGTTATAAAATCTACTCTAATTAAACCAAGTGACTAACATTTACTTATGATACAATATATAACAGTTATAAAATCTACTCTAATTAAACCAAGTGACTAACATTTACTTATGATACAATATATAACAGTTATAAAATCTACTCTAATTAAACCAAGTGACTAACATTTACTTATGATACAATATATAACAGTTATAAAATCTACTCTAACGTATTAAGGTGTTAAAACCTATTTAAAATAGTCTTTACTTTTTGTAGAAAGTTAAGTTGTAGAAACAAATATTATAGATAGAGATGAATTTCACTAGCCTCCAATTCTGGAATTTAAATAACCTTGTCATTTAATAAACTTTTAACATAGTTACAGTTAGTGGGTGGAGCTTATCTAAATCTGAACAAATACGTTTAAGCTTCTATAGCAGTCTAATGTTCAGGACTTACTAGAACAGGATGGAGTTCCTTGCTACTCCAGTAGTTACAGGTAATAATCAGAGATGGAGCTAGTACTCCGTTTTGTAATCAGTTGGATTTTAGCTTTCTGGATTGATGGGAAAGTTTATTCATAGTATCAAATAAAGACTAGGTTGGAATAGAATGTTTGTAACGATAAGAACTTTTAGTCGAATATGGTATTTTTCATTGATAAATACATCAGATAATCTCATGTTTTAATTAATTTATTTTCAAAACATAAACAATATCAAAATAAACAAGTAAATATGTAATATTAAAATTATTGAACAGGAACCAGCCCAACAAATACAAGTGATTCATTCTTTCTTACTACACGTGCATGACGTACAACTACAGGGTTCTCCTTCTGGAAAGGAAAGAAATATTAGATGTACAGTAAATAACACTTGAAGATTAACCAAGTAACAAACATTACTTACGATACAAATAACTTGTAGTTAAAAGTTTATCTTAATACAATTTGGCCTAGCTAATAGTTTACATACCTGTACACTTACACCGACTTTTCTCAGTTTCGTCTTTTTTGTTGCACGTAGTACACTTGCATCCGTCTTCTTTGCCGCACGTGCAATTTTCGCCACACGTGCACGTAGGATCTTTAAATAGAGGCAATATTTATATTAATGTTATATTAATAAGACATTATCAACAACAAAAAAAATTTACTTTGTGGTTGATGGTTGGAAGTCCACATAACGAACACGTACATACAAAAATGTTAGTCCAAAGTTAGATCAATATACACACATTATCCTCCCTTGTTATTTAATGTTTATTAAAAGCAAAAGGCATTAATTTGCATGAGACGTAGTTATAGAACCCCAATTAGACATCCTATGTAGCCCGATTTAAGTACTTAAAGTTACGCATTTCTTATTGATTCTTCCAGGTAGGCCCGCCGACACGAGGGCAATAGCCCAGGGGCACGGGCGAATGAAACCTGGTTATGCATCTTTAGGCTACATCTTCATTTCATGATAAAAACAGTTTTGTTTTACTTTCCATATAGACGCTTGATACGTTAAGAACGACTGAAATAATAATTAATATGTATTTGTTACTTTATAGATTTAATAGATATTTATTGTTACTTTATTAACGTTTTTACGCTTATACCGTCTGGTAAAATCGGCTGCTGCTATGATTGTCTGGTTTATGAGCTCGTTGCCGTCCTAATTTTGGATCTTTGATAAATTCTTGAAAATATTAAAAGAGAGAGAGAGAGAAAGGGGACCCGGAGAGGATGTTTGCCCCCGCGGACCGTGATAGCTCTCGACGTTCCTGCTTCCAGACATCAATACTCTAATATATATACATATTATCCTCCCTTGTTATTTAAGGTTTATTGAAATCAAGATGCATTAAGTGTATATTTTTTTAAGACACGAGATACAATGTTGAAACAAAGAGCTGTTGGTCTAATGTGATTACAATTGGAAGTTATGTTTGCAATATAAACTTTTGTCCTCTTATTTAAGTTATTTTCTTTATATTTTATCTTTTTTGATGTTCAAATAGAAATTATGTAGAGGGACAAAACAAAGGGTAAATAGCTAAGCCTTGTGTTAAGTTAAATGTATGACGTCTATGCTGTACTATAGAACCCCAATTAGACATCCTACGTAGCCCGATTTAAGTACTTAAAGTTAGGTATTTCTTATTCATTCTTCCAGACATCAATACTCTACTAAATCCTAATTCAGAAGAAATCCAACAGTCCGATGTGACTGGCGTGAAGTTCTATTACTGACCGTATAGAAGATTAGCGTGAAAAATAAGTAATAATGTACCGTGTGTCATTTATAGACAATCAGGTTGATTAAACGTAATTATGATATCGAAGTTTCGTTCTTCATAGAACTACGTGTAAAACTACATTTGAACTTATCCCACTTCAAGCAGTAACAGTTATTGATTAATTAATTAATTAATATAAACAGCGTCTGCTTGTGTTGAAGGTAAAAAACAAATACTCAAAGTTATTAAAACAAAGCTGTTACATAGCAACTAATCCAAATGCTATACAAATACACTGGATATTAAGTATACAATAAAGAATTAAAAAGTGACAAATATTAATATTTAACTTATATAAACCAAGAACAAATATTATAATGATGGCTGGAGACGGCTTGAGTGGGTAATGAAGAAAAACTTTAATACAAGTTTAACATAACAGCAAATGTACAACGTTTCGACAAGGTTTTGTCATCATCAGGTACATATATACTCCAGTTCAAACTTGTATGTGTAGATATATACATACACACATATACATATACACTTAATACTAAATTATTTCATAAAATGTTAATTTACTATTGACATTTTAAAGTAAAAAAAAAAATGTTGGTCCACAGTACAATCAATACACATTACTCTTGTTATTTAATTTATACTAAAGGAAAGATAGGGGAAAATGGAATTTAATGAAGTAACATTTAATAGTAAACTTCTACATTCAAAAATATCTAGATCCAGAAGTCTTGTCGTCATCAAGTGATTGTCATGAAAAAACAGATACAATGTTGAAATAAGAGTTGTAAAGTCATGGTTTAAGGAAATAACAAGTTTTATATTTAATATTTAGGTTAAGACTTGTATCTTAATTTTATGTATATATTTAAATTACAATATAGTTAAGATATTTTAAATAGTTTATATGGTCCTGAAAACACGCATGACATTCATCCTTTACATTAGTACATAGAACCAATTTGTAGGCAAGTCAAACTTACCGAATAGTAAGATTTAACTACAAAACGTACACGTAACCAAAATATACTTAAACGTTTAGCTTGAATTAAAGTTATAAAAACGTATAAATTAATGTTCGAGCATACAATTCACGATAGGACCAATTTACACAAGTTAAATATTGGTATATTAGTGTTACCATACGTTAGACAGCTCCGCCATTACCATGCGTTACTACGTTAGACAGCTCCGCCATTACCATGCGTTACTGCATTAGACAGCTCCGCCATTACCATGCGTTACTGCATTAGACAGCTCCGCCATTACCATGCGTTACTACGTTAGACAGCTCCACCATTACCATGCGTTACTACGTTAGACAGCTCCACCATTACCATGCGTTACTACGTTAGACAGCTCCACCATTACCATGCGTTACTACGTTAGACAGCTCCACCATTACCATACGTTACTACATTAGACAACTCCAGTCGAATTAGAATAGATACAAAAGTATGTTTATTGTTTTTTCTGTCACGAACATGGTGAAGGGTGACACTAACCCTTCACCATATCATATCATTTTTTATAAACCAACTTACAAACTTCTTCTGTATAATAAAATACTCACCTCCGCATTTACAGGCTGAATCAGACATGATTAACGTTAATAAATATTAAAAACTTATG